CCACCCGCCACCCACCCCCGCCCACCCCCACACCCACACCCACACCCACACCCACACCCACACCCACACCCACACCCATACCCATACCCTTTCCGAAGCTGTTTTCATCATTTGTGGCAACTGTATTATATGACGACGTTTGACCGCCTAAGACAGAATATAATTCATCATGGTTTGATTTTGGTTGACTGTTACGAGCAGTATGCACCCTAATGCAGCAACGAAAATTTGCCTTATCCGACTACAAATAATCGTACATTCCTTTCATTAAAATTTTTCATATGATAATATCACTTGTCTAATGGTACTACAATACAAACATGTAGAGCACTTTTAGTGCTACATATTTGTACTAACAGAATTTTGTCTCAAGCATCCCGTACTTTTATATAAGATCAATCTCGATACTTTTTGTATGCTCTAAGTATATACAGTTCAGTTCGTAGGAACATTCAAATAAAGTCATTTTGTTCGAAATTATTTTTTTTTCAGAAAAAATCCAAGAGAAAACTTCACAAAAAAGAAGCAAAACCGAAATTACATGTATACATTTCAAAATACACATTAAAAAAAGTCGAAACTAAATCAGAAAAAAGTTAAAGATCGGAGAATCTAGCAACCATGTATACTATAAACATATAGTAATGAGTTATAGTTCAACTTTAGTCAAATACTAAAAAAACTGGAATCTAAAATAAATCCCAAAAACACAGAAAAAATTTGAAAAGAACCAGAAAGTCGCCGGAACAAAGTTCAAAAATAAAACTTTCCCTACCACCTCGGGATATCCTATATCCCTGAGTGTAGGGGAGATGAGTCAATCTCATCGAGATCCCTCGTGTAGACCATTATATTTGAAGGCCTTTCTGGTACATCATAAAAGCTCGGCAGAAACTATCTAGGTTACTGTGGCACACAGCCGATCTTTCAACAGACTCAGTCACATGGTATGGGGTATTGGAGTCTGTTTCGTGAGTGCATCGCCTTTGCATTACGGCAGCATCATCAAGGTAGTTTTTGGTCACGCGTGCTAATAGAATAGAAGTGAAATTCATTCTTCCTTGAATGGCAATTTCTTTTTCATCGATCGTTATTTATTTCATGGAAAGATTGAAAAAGTGAAAGATATAATCAGTCTAATCAACAGGAAAACGTTGTACTCGATGCTTCGAATGATCAGTCACGTAGAAATGGCCGTGTTGATCGAAGGACAAACCCCAAGGAAAGTACAAATGATTTGCTCCTTCTCCTTCACTATTTCCATACTCAACGACAGTGCCCTGTGTCGCTTCTTTGGGCCAACGGGTAACTTGATGATTCCCGTAGTCTGCAACATAGATAGTCTCCGACTTATCGACGAACAGCCCGCGAGAAAACCCACGAACGACAGCAATTCCTTCTGTTGCATCTTTATTCCACTTCATCACACGATGGTTCCATGTGTCTGACACGTAGACAATCCGTTGTTCATCAACAAAAATGTAACTCGGCTCGTTGAGTTGCTTGAGACCAGTACCTCGTCCATGACCGCCAGCCACCACAGTTCCATTCTTCTCTCCCATTGTATATCGTCTGACTTCATGTTTTTCGGTGTCAGAGACGTAGAGACATCTCTGATTATCCATGGCCAAACCATAACAAGCGATGTTCTCGAGAAGTATTTCTCCTTGAATAGTGCCATCAAGACGAGACCATCGTAAGACTCGTCGATTCCCTCGATCAGATATAACGAGACTATTGGTCTGTTTGTCAATCAGTACATCAGTTGGACAATTTAATTGATTCAATTCATGGCCTTGCCCGTGGCCACCAGCTACCACTTGACCATTCATATCACCTATCCTCCATTGGACGATACGGTGATTGCCCCAATCAGCGATGAAGATTGTTTGATCATCGTAGATGAAGAGACCATAAGGAAAACACAGCTCATTGTTGGCATGGCCTAGTCCATACCCTCCAGCAACAGTCTTGGTATTTTGTGCTGACCCTGAGTTCAAAAAAATATTAGAAATGACTATCAATAAACGAACAAATGAAAAGGAAACCGCCATCATGGTCAAATAGATCGCGCTCTCTCTGTCATGAAGCGCTTACAAAGTTAGATATTTTTTCTTTGAAAGAACTTTGTATAACATGCAAAACTATTTTAAAAAGTGTTCATAAATGCTCTTACCCTTAGACAACATGCCAAAAGAAAAATGATCACAGAGAAACGAAACTATCTAAAACGCAATGTACAAAAAAAGAGAGAACACTTCACCAAATAGATTAAAAAACATACGGAAGATGCTTTGACGACTTATTCGACAGAAAGAATACGGCGAAGAACGATTAAATATGCAGGTATTTCCTATATCCTTGTTAAGACCATAGTATGCCGCAGAAACTCACTATCTTTCCTTTATATTCGATTGAGGTGATGCTACCGTGGAATGACTGTCAGGTCGATATATCAGGAGGAAATTCTAAACTCCAAAATATATTGAAGTGTTCATTCTACAATTTTTGATCAATCAGCCCTAGAGTGGTATAAAAACGAAAAACAATGAAACACTTTTTACACCAAAATAATCATGTCATTGAGTTCTATAAATGCTGAAATTTTAACATTGTCCAAAGAAACTTTTTGATAGGGTGACTGATATCCCATGGAACGAGCCTGCAATGTATGAAAGAGAACCTGGACTATGATCATTAATACAATGGACTGAAATCATATTTAAACTTAGTGCGAGAATGGCTTCAAAAAGAGGATGTTTCTTTCTTGTCGTCCCGCGCCTAATTTTCAACAGTTCCTTTCTCAAATCTAGTTGCCGACGATGGCAACAACCGAACCAATAGTAATTCAAGAACATTGTCATAGAGAGGAAAGAGGCTCAACTCTGATCTTCAATAAAATACTACAAATAAAATAATGTTAATAAGGTGTCTAATTCTGTGGCTAGACATCAGCAGGACCGGTCCCGAAAAATCGAAATTAGGACCAGCTCTATAAACGCTTTATTCTCGTATCCATACACTAGAGATACATTAGTAAATCAGTTCTTGCAGCTATGCACAAGCTTGCTACAACACAAGCAACATCAATCATCAGTCTTAATCGAATACATGCCCCTATTTATCAAAAAGTGTCAGTCGTTTCGAAACCATAGGATTGAAACCGTGACCAAAAGAAGTTACTTTACAGTTGTCTCCCTCTAATCGCATAGAAATCTTTGCAAAGTTATCATAATGTGCAATTTAACGTTTTTGTAGATGAAAGAGGCTTTTTCATATGCACTAGAGGTTAGTTTAGAATGGAACCAGTTTCTTAGTATTATTCTGATTAATGTAATCTATCTGAAATACTTACGCAGAACAAGATAAAGGATCGATTCTTCACCGATCTCATAACTGGATAGTGTTCGAACATTTTCAAGTGTTGCGTTGTTGAATATTAGTCGTTGTAAATCTGTTCGAATACCTTCTTTTCCTTGTATAGTTGTCTTGACATTTCCAATTGTGTCAGTGGATTGAACTGCTAACGTTATAACTTTTCCTTCGAGCGTGCGCACGGATATTTGCATTATGCCAGAATACCAAAATTAACACTAGTGATAAATGCACAGTTAAAATATGAATGAAAAATCTTAACTAAAGAAAACAAGTCATGTCTACTTTTTTTATGAAGGATGTTTTGCAACACATGTAGAGATTCAGATAAAAAGACAAGTAATGCTCATCGGATACTGATTCACTTAAACCCTAGAATTTCAAGGCTTACGATTATCATCAGAATTTAAACTAAGAGGCTGCTACTGCTAGCATAAATCATTATTGACTGTTGCTGATTCTTTGGATAACTTGTAGACATAAACCAGCGACCGTCACACAGTGAGCAATTTTTATAGAGCATGTGAACACAACTTATTTTATGAAAGACGACTGTCAATGAGTGTTGAAGTATAGAGTGAAAAACGTGATAGCCTCCCTTCCATCTGCCCCACAGATTGTGACAGACATACGTGGCGAGAGCTTTTGTGTACGATTAAAATGATTTCATCATATTTCGTATTTTCATCTCGCAGAGATTGTACTAATGGCTTTTTCTGTCAAAACCACGCTTTTTTATAGAAATTTTAGTTTCTGCTACTCAGAAAAAGATGACTAATAATAAAGTGAAATCTGAAATAAATGTAGTGCAAAAAGGTCTGAGGGAAACCCTCACCCTAAATTTTTGTAAAATAAATATAACTTGAAAAACTAACGAATAGTATTCACACTTGAATGTTGATCTCTAACACTGACTGAGCCAATTGCTTCCGTGTGTCATAATTCTTTCAGCTTAAATAATTTCGTAACGACTCAGTGCTGATCAAAATTGAAACAAAGCACTATTTCGACCAACGAACCAGTAACACATTCAGGATTAATGACATTCAGTGTCTTAAAAGTAAAATTGATTACATCTATATCGATTATAGACAGTTCCGAACATACGTCCTGCAGTATATGAAATTTCTGATTAGCTTCAAACTTTTTCGATCAAATTTTCGCCTCAGATAAAGCTTGAAAACTATGATACCAATCACTAGCCCGCCTGTTATCGGTTCATATCCTGTCGAGTTATGAATCGAACAGTCTCTTCACTTTGAGACAACCATATCTCAACCATTTTTGGCACTTAAACTTTTGCATGAGCCCTTATTAGAGAGTCACATGTCTCAGCTTTCTCCAATACAAATTGCATAAGAAATTACTTCGAAAGGACTGATATATAATTATCTCATTGGGAACTTATTTCCAGTGAAAAAGCTGTCGATGGAACGTTTCCAGGTGGCTACTTGCTTTTTAGTTGAGACTATATGCATTATGATGACCCTAATGTATGATGAATACCCTGAAAAGAGTTTGTACCCCTATCTTGTTCCTGACTAGATATCGCATTTTTAGTGAATTTTCTCTGTGGGATCTGAGGTCGCCAGCAAAATTATATTTTCGAATTTTGATCTGAAACTTTGCCCATATGAGCACCTCAACTACCCAGGTCAAAGCTTCCTATCATCGGATCTTGTCGGATTCGTTCAGATTCAGCGCTCGATTATATCGAAATGAGTTGGATTTGTACGCCATTCGATCGGATTCAGGTGGATTGAGTCGAAATCCTGCCTGTCGGAATCCGATTTCGGAGGCAGTCAAAACTGGTCAGATCCGACTATCGGAGGAAGGAAATTTCCGATTGAAATGCGACAGACAGAGATTTTGACGGATTGCAACGTGGCTAGCTGGATCTGGTCGAGTGAATTCGACCTGGGTAGGCTAGCTTAGATACAAAATTTCAGAATTTTTTTTGACAAAGTCTCTCCGAGATATGAATTTTTCAAGATATAGGCATTTTTCTATATATAGTGTGTAAAACATATGCATCTTTTGAAAAATTCACATCTCAAGGAGTCTTTATTAAAAGCTTCTAAAATTTTGTATCTAAGCTAGTCTAGTTGAGGTGTTCATATGAACAAAGTTTCAGATCAAAATTCGAAAATATAATTTTGCTGGCAACTTCGGGTCCCACAGAGAAAATTTACTAAAAATTCGATATCTCGCCAAGAACAAGGTAAGGGCACGAACTCTTCAAGGTATTCATAGTACATTAGGGTTTATATAATGCATGTAGTCTTGACTCAAAGGTGAATGGACACCTGGGAAACGTTTTCTGGTAAGTCTTCAGTCAGATATGCTCTGGCGTGGAATAATTTTGGCCAACATGCTTGAAAATTCCTTACGAAACTCATCATAGCCGCTTGAGTGTTTATTAAAAGTTTCAGAATTATTTTTCTCATTACAACAGAGATGCAGTTAGATCATACTGTCAGTCGTGCACGGCTTCCTAACTATTTGGATCATAGCGAGATAGAGTAGCCTTCCTACTATAATAAGTCGATTTTCAAAGCTACATTCACTACTAAAAAAAGTAGAAATAGTTTCCTAAAGAGTCGAAAAGAAATAAAGAAGGTGGTCTTTGTGGGTGGACCATTTACATTAATTTAATATTAACTTTAAAGTGTTCACTTCACACTTAATTCATTAATATTAAGTGATTAAGTCATTCCATAAAGAAAACTTCGTATTTGAACCCGATTTTGTGAAATTCACATATATTTTCGAAGAAAATTGTGAGTTTAAATTTAAAAGCGAGATAATTGCAGCTGCTCACCCACCTCCCTCCTCATTACAGGCATCAATAGATCTTTCATTCCACTAATTAGCAGACTATTTATTAAGTCCCTTCATCGCAGACGATATAGAAAATGGGGGGGGGGGGATTATTTCATTACAAACAATAGCAGTCAGTCTTTGCTACCATTACAGATCCTAACAACCAGGGAACGGGGGGTTACCATTACAGACTTTAGCAACCAGACTCTCCCACTGTTACGGACATTAGCAAAAAATACTCCCCCCCCCCCCCCCCCCCCCCCCCCCCCCCCCTGCACCCCGCGCACGCGCCCACGCCGCCGGAGGGAGGCAG